CACCCCCACGATGTTTCCGAATGCCAACATTCATTGATTTTGCTCCCATGACATTTCACATTGTGACCCAGTAGTTGAGGGTCTCGTGGCATGCAGCGAAGATGCCCGAGGATGCCCCGTACGAGTTGCATATACATGTTCATACCCTTACACATACATGTATGTGCACATATGTACGCTGTATACACACATACAACAACGTAAGTATATTGTATACACCTAGACATTTATACGGAACGTGCATGCGCGTGCGCGTGTATACATGCATGCGCACATGCACGCACGCACGCACTCCGCTTGCGTGCAGAACTCAAAGGACCAAGGTGCATGGCGCGCAGCGCCAATTCATTCTTGTATATAAAAAACATATATGTATCGTAAACATTCGTATCGTCTTCTATTTTCGCATATACGCACATACGTGTTATCATGAACATCTATGTATGCGTACTTCGTTATGAGTATATACGCGTCCGCGCATCTACTCTACATTGGTGCCACAACATTGTATGCAAATACCTCTGTATGGTTGGCTTACGTAGTTCGGGAAACATAGATAGGGAGAGCAATAAAGAGAGAGGGACCAATCCAGAGAGATAGAGAGAGAGAGAGAGATACATCTAAACAATTACATGTAGATAGGGAGAAAGGGAGAGAGCGAGACAGATAGAGAGAGAGCGAGACAGAGAGAGAAACAAACCAGAGCGACAGAGAGAGAGAGAGATATAACATCATATTACATATATATATAGAGAGAGAGAGCGGGAGAAAGAGAAAGACAGAGAGAGAGAGAGGGATGGGGAGAGGGGGGGAGGGACATAGAGAGAGAGAGAGACAACCATAGCATGGTATTAGGGGGGCAGGGAGGTTATTTCTCTTCCTCTTCCCCCTTCCTGCGAGGCGGATGCGTACCCAACGCCGTCCTTTCGGTCGCCCACAAGCCCGGTCCCAGGTTCGTGTCTGCGATATCCCGAACTCCTTTCAAAAAGTTCAGGATCCTTCGAAAGGTCTCCGAGAGTACCATAATACATGCGCAATTGAGGACAATTATGAAGCAGTTCCTCTGAAAATCCTCCTTCCCCTCCTCCCTTCCTCCCCCTCCTCCTTCATTCTGGGCAGTTTTTCGACTGTCTCGGGGCCCCGTGAGGGTCCCCAGAGTGCGAACCTGGCTGGGGATCGTCCTATCTCCTTATTTCACAGCGAGAGCGTGTCTGTTCTCAACGTTACAGCTGCGCCCTGACAGTCCTACATCGTGCCAGAGCACCATTCCTGGGACGCCATCCAGAAGAATCCGCCAAACTCGTGCACGCTTTTATAAGACGAATGGGGGCGGCGCTAATGCGAGAGCCACATTTCGAAACCGAAGCGCCCTCCGTCCGTGAAGCTCTTGTGAACTTTTAAGACGAAAGCGCGCGGTGCTTAGGTGAGAGCCCTACTTTGAAAACCACCCGCCCAAAATCATCAATTGTGAGGAAGTCTCAGGCGAAACGTCCAGCCCGCCCTGCTGACACGTTGAGGGGTGCGCCAGGGAGGAATTACTTATCAGGAAAGTTGAAGGAGGTAAGAAAAGGACGAGGAGGAGAAGGACCTCCTCCTCCTCCTCCTCCTCCTCCTCCTCCTCCTCCTCTCCTCCTCCTCCTCCTCCTCCTCCTCCTCCTCCTCCTCCTCCTCCTCCCCTCTTCCTCCTCCTCCTCCTCCTCTTCCTGCTCCTCCTCCTCCTCCTCCTCCTCCTCCTCCTCCTCTGCTCCTCCTACTACTCCCCCCTCCGGCCCAGGAGGGGCGGAGCGCCCTGCCGCTGGCGCTCGTGCCGGCCGAGGCCGCCCGGGCGAGCGCCCCCTTCGGGGAGGGGTGTGGGGGGGGGCGGCGTTCTCGAGAGGGGGGGCGGCGAGGACGTGCCCAGAGGTCCGACGTATTGAATAGGGGGCCACATGCGAACCCTACCCCTACCCCCCACGACTTCTGAGGGGGAGGGTGGGGTTCACTTCGCGGGCGAGCGCCAACGGCGTTCTTCAGAGGTCGTGGGTGAGGGGGGGGTGGGGTTCACACGTGGCCCCCAGCGAAAGCATCAGGCGGAGGTATTTCGCAGTTTGATGCCTCCAGGGGCCCTCGCCGGGCCCTCGCCGACGGGGCGACGGGGCGACGGCGACGGCGACGAAACCGACGGCGACGACGCCGCGCGGCCGGCGAGAGGCGCCGCTGCCGGCGCCGACCGTCGTGCAGTTGCTCGCGCGGCCCATGCCGCGGGAGGCGCGGGCGCCGCCTTCGAACTTCAAGATCCTAACGCCGGCGCCCGGCTGCCGGCGTCGATCTCGGTGGGTCGGTCGTCGTCGGTCGTCCGTCGTCCGTCGTCGTCGTCCGTCGTCGTCGTCGTCGTCGTCGTCGTCGTCGTCGCCGCCGCCGCGGTCGTGGCGGTTCGGAGGAGCAGGGATTCGTGGTGGTGATCTGTTCCGAGATCTCCCACGTTTCCGCGATTTTCTCGTCGCACGGGCCCCAGAGGCGAAGAACTTTGGAGCTCCTGGAGCGTGTCCTCAGCCAAGCGCCTCCCTCCTCGCGCGTTCCTGGGGTCCAGGTTCCGGGCACGTCAGGACCCGCTGGGCTCCCCCGTGGAATCGCGGCACAGTAATGCCGTCCGACGGGCGCACTCTCAGACATCCTACGCATCTCCGTGCTTTATTCGTCACCACGCGCTTTACACATCCATAGTGGGGCTTTGTGCGAACGCGCCGAGCAGCTCGCGCACCTCGCCTCGTGCTGCTGCAGCCCGCCATCGCTGCCCATGTACTGCACGAGAGACGCGGACCCGCAGTCTTGTCTCATCTTGCCCCCCTCCTCCCTCCTCCCTCCTCCCTCCTCCCTCCTCCCCCTCCCTCCGTAGCTATTTTGGCTTAAGCCGCTGCCCCGGTCCGAGGTGTTTGGAACTGCTCCAGGAGCAGCGCAGCGTACCTCGCGCGGGGCGGCTGCCATGCGCGCCGGCCGCTTCGCCTCGCCCTGCCCAGGCGAGCGGCGGGCCAGCCGCGCCCCACGAGCCTCTTCCGGCCGGCGCCATGGCGACCGGCCGAGACGGGGCCTGCTCGCCGCTGTGCGCAGGCTCGGCTTTGCGGCCCGGGTTGGCCGCCGGCCGCTCATGAGCGACGTGGCCAGTCTCGCTCGAGCGGCTGTTCGTACCGATCGCGATCCGCGGCCTCTGGATGTGGCTCGCGGAGCTCCTGTACCCGAAGACACTTGGTGCTGGCTGCCAGAGGCGCTGCCGCCCCCAGCTTCCACCGCGCCGGTATGGTGGCCTCCGCGGTCGCCTGCTGCATCGGAGGCTCCGTCCAGGCTGCTACGTCGTGGAGTTCCTGGTGCTCTACTTGCAGGCAGTCTGGATGGCACTGTGCCTCGGGTGGCGCCCATGCTGACGGAGATCAGCGCCGTGGCTGCTGCGGTAGCCGACCGGGCGCCATGTGCTCCGCCGTCTTTCTCGCCGCGTGCCTCGCGCAGCTGTGGCCATGGCCGCGGCCTTGGACCGTGGCGTTCCTGATCCTGTGCATGATGACGCCGATGTTCGTGCCCGAGTCCGTGATGCCGCGGCTGGTGCTATGGCCGATGGGCGGGATGGCCGCGCAGCGGAGGTGGGCAAGCCCCTCCCCCCCAGCGTCCCCTGTCAGGGCCCGGGGGAGGCGGCGAGGCAGCCTACGGGCCCCTTCCCGCTTCCAGCTGCAAGTGCGGAGGTGGACAGGCCCCTCCCCCCCAGCGTCCCCTCTCGGGGCCAGGGGGAGGCGGCGGGGACCAGCGAGGCGTCCACCGAGCTGCGCCAAGGTGAGACTACCGACGCTATGTGTACCCTGGCCGCGCTTCCGGTTGCCCTTCCTGCTGCTGCTCTCAGGCCCCCGGAAACCAGGACACAGATAAACCAGGACACGGAAAACCAAGGAAACGACATCGTTTCCTGCAAAGTCGCGTTTTTCAGCACCCGTGCATGTTTTGTTTGCTGCACTGCAGGATTCGGGATTGTGTCCGGGTTTAGGGGGGTCTTGCAGGCTTTTTGAGGCCTGTGTCCGGGTTTATTCTGGAAATGCTGCAGTGCAGTACTTTGTTCGTGCCGCCGTTTGGAAAAGTTGGTTTCGAGGAATGTCGGGTGTCCGGGTCTAGCGTGTCCGGGTCTACGGGGCCCTGATGCTCGTGTTCTTCCACATGGTGTTGCGCGTGTGCCGTTGCCGAAGGGGTGGAAATGGGCGTGCTCAGGGAATATCTGGGATCCTTCAGTTGACAGATCTTTGGGTTATTTTTCGGATCACGTGAACCGGCTTGTGACTTACTCCATATTCCGCATGCGCGTGCGCAGGCAGGTGCGGCCAGGGTCGTTGCCTGAGCCGCCAACCGCTAAGCAGCCACCAGTCGATATTGACGAGATTCTTGCCCAGCGCATCGTTGGGAGCACCTTTCCTCGGAGATGACGCAGAAGCTCGTCGTCATGGAGGATCTTTACGAGGAGTAAGGTTGAAGTGGGACGATCAGCGGCACGGCGTCCTAGTTACCTGATGCCTGATTGCAGGTTTTGGTCAGGCGTCGTCGTCAGCCCTGGCCCGCTAGCCTCTCCCTCACGCCATCTGTCGTCGTCGCGCCTGCGGCCAGGCAGATGTCCTTCTGTCTGCCTCGCGCGTGAGAGTTCGCTGTGCGCTGGCACGGTTTGACAGTAGATCCTGAGAGCCGGAGGATGTAAGCCTGCGTCCCAGCCTCACTACTTCGTGCTCCTTCCTTCCCCTCTCCCCCCCCTTTCAGCGACCGAATGCCCCACTGCGGCCCAGCTTCTTAATTAGATGACGGGGGGGCCACGGGGAGTTTCAGAGGGAGGATCGGTGTGGGAATGGCTTTTGGAATTCTCGGATACGTGGTCGTCACTCTTTGGCTACTGCGTGCAGAAGATGGCGGCTGCCAGTCATATGTGTCCCAGCCTTGACCCCGCTCGTTTTCTGCTGCTCCGAGATTGGAGGTTTAGGATCTGTGTCCCAGTCTCACTTTCTCTTATCGGCTTCATCTACCATCATCCCTCGCCGACCTGAAATTGTGCAGCCAGTATTTACAAGGGACACAGCGTTCCGGAGGTGACCGGTATGCGTCTCAGCCTCTTCCCTTCCGCTCGTTGCTGCCATCCTTCCGAGGCTGGAGGTTTGAGATGTGCGTCTCAGATCCAATCTTCCTTCTCGGCTTTCTCTTTATTTGGTGTCCCTCCCTTCCTCCCTCCCCTCCCCCTCCCGAATGGCCAAGAACCACGACGCGGTCGTCGTTTCTCTGTTCGGCCCGATGCCGGCCACTTGATTCGAGAGAGGAGTGATTCGGTGGGGGGGCGCTGACGGGATGGGATTGAGGGTGAGTTTAGGTCTGTTGGTGGGGGCGAGGGTTGCACTGCGGCGTTGGCGCAGGCACGGGCCGCAGGTCGAGCGCGCGAATCTCGTGCACTCCCGCAGGCCCGTGCCTTGCGCCAGCCCGCTAAGCTGGCTTTCGGCCCTTCGCAGGCCATCCCACCTGCTCCCTTATCCGTCTTGCCTCCTCCTCCTCCCGCGGCGTGGTGATGCGCCCTGAGCGCCTTCAGACGATGAGGGGGGGGGGGGTCGGTCAGGACGGGGGCGGGGAGATTCACCAAACCTGGGCGCCCGTGCTGCATGTACGCATTGTTGCAGCAGCTCGTGAGTGCCGCGCTAAGCTGACCGTTTCCTCGGCGAATCAAAACGCAATCCAACAAATCCCCTCCGTCCCCCCCTCCTCCTCCTCCTCCTCCGCCTCCTCTCCTCTTCTCTCCTCCCTTTGCCTCCCTCCTCCTCCTCCTCCTCCTCCTCCTCTCTCCTCCTCCTCTCCTCCTCCTCCCAGGGATGGTTTTCTGGAACAGTTCCAGATTCTTGCTCTCCCTCCACGTCCTCCTCTTCCTCCTCCTTTTCCTCCTCCTCCTCCTCCTCCTCCTCCTCCTCCTCCTCCTCCTCTTCCTCCGCCCTTTTCGCTCCTCCCCTTCCTCCGTCCCTCCCTCCCTCCGTCCTCCTCGCTCCTCGGGTCTCCTGCCTCGTCCCCCCTCTTCGGCCGCTCTCCTGGGGTGGAGGGCCCTGGCCTTCGCCCCCCACTTCACCTCAGGGGCAACCCCGGGGGAGAAAAGCCTCAAGTCGGGCGCGTCCCCCCTACAGGAGGAGAGTTCAAGCATAGTCCAACAATACCATGGGGGACGCTTTGTGATCCACTGTTAGACCGATTATTTTTGATCGTTTGGTGAATCTTCTTCACTAGTTGCATGGTTCTTCCCAGCGCCGCCTGTAGAAGGACATGCCCGACCCAACTCCTAGGGGGGATCGCCCCAGGGGCATCGACCCCCCCTCGCCCGCTGATTTCGGCTACGCGGGGAGGGCGGCAAGGGGGAGAGGGGGCGGCTCTTTGGAGGCACCCCTGCTTTGAGCAGGCGCGGGCCCCCTCCTCCTCCTCCTCCTCCTCCTCCTCCTCCTCCCTCCTCCTCCTCCTCCTGCTCCTCCTCGCTCCTCCTCCTCCTCCTCCTCCTCCTCCTCCTCCTCGTCCTCCTCCTCCTCCTCCTCGTCCTCCTCCTCCTCTTCCTCCTCCTCGTCCTCCCGCCCATCGGTGTCAGACGGGCGCCCCCGAAGAAGCAAAAGCAGCCTCCTTCGAAGCAGCCTTCCCCCTTCCCCCCTGCCCTTCTGCGCGCGCCGTCCACATGGATCCCCGAGGCGGGCCTGAGGGCCCCACCCCGCCCAGGAGCGCTCGGGTTCGCCCTCGGGGGCCCTGCGGCGATGCGTCGCCGGGCCGATTCCGGGCCCATGCCCCCCCCCCCCCGAGCCAGGTCGCCAGTCGGCTTGCGGGTCGCAGCTCGGACCTCCGGCGGCCTTGTCGCGGGGCGATCCAGGAACCCATCCGGCACCCCTTCCGGACGTTTTGGGCGAGGCGCCGCTGCTGGGCAGCATCCCGCGGCCGGAGCAGCCGCCAAGAGTGCCGGGCGGACGGGGGAGCAGGGAGGAGTGGGAGGCCCTCCTCATCCTCCTCCTCCTCCCCTTTTTCTCCTCCTCCTCCTCCTCCTCCTCCTCATCCTCCTACCTATGGTAGTGGTTGTGGGGAATAGGACCAAGAAGTAGCCGACGATCGCGCCAGAGACTTTGAAACCCGAACCTCGAAACTCGATCGTCCCCCCTGCGCCGGTGTCCCCCCATCCGTGCCCCTCCCCGCCGCGCGAAGGATGAGAGTATCAGAGCCGAGCCTGTCACGCAGCCACCAGAAGATATCTCTGAACCACCCATGCATTCAACTAGATTGTAAGTTTGGTGCACCGTTCATGCGAGACCACTCGTCTCTCGTGTGATGCCTCGGCCTCCAGGCGTTCCCACATGAGGTCCGAGGATTTGGCCAGAGGCTATCCGCTCGGCAGGGCGGTCGACAGGAGACCTCACTTGCAGAGTCTCACGCAGATCCGTTCGGTGTCCGGTCACGTAGCGTTTCTTTCTTGCAGGCGGTGCGAAGGGCAGACAGACAGGGGTCGCAAGCGTCTCTTATCTTATCGTAGGTTATCGATTATTTTATTATCTGATAGTTTCCTATATTACATTATAATATAGTACCATATCTTTTTTCTTACATGACCTTATATTATCATGTCCTATACTAGTTTGTCTTATCCCAACTTATATCATCTTGTGATATCACATCTTATATTATAGTATCGGACCTTACATTGCCATACCCTGTCTTTATATTGATCTTATATGTATGTGCATAGTTATCCCATATCATTCTATCTTATACTAGATCATCTTATGTATTATAATCCCATTATGTCGTATCGCATCCTTTCATATACCATAGTACCTTTGATATATATTACATCATATTATCTTATCATGTCATATAGCTCTCTACGCTATTTCATAGTATCTTATATATTGCATAGTCCTTATTTTATTCTATCTTATGAAAACTTATCTTATATTAGTTTAGCTTATCTTACCTTAGCGTACCTCATCATATCGTATCGTAGATTATCTTATCTTTTTCTTATATTATATTATCATCTCTTTTCATGTATTACATTCTATTGTTCTGCATTGTCTTATAGTATATTATCGTTTCTTTTCTTTTATTATCACATCGCAGATGCCCAATATCACCCCATCGTATATCATAGTACCTTACCATATATTATCTGATATTATCTCATCTTATCGTATATAATCTTATCTTCTACTGTCTTATATTATCATATATTACATTATCTTATCTTACTTTATCTTATTCTTATCCATCATGTATTAACTCAGTTTATCTTATCTTATCTTATGTAATCCTATCTTGCCTTGTAGTATATTAGCTTATATTATCGTATGTTTGGTTTCCTTTCTTACCTTATCTTATGTGATCTTATATAATCTCATGTTGTATTATCCCATCTTATCTTATAGTATATTGTCTTATCTTGTCTTACCATATCATATCTTATATTCGCTTATCTGATCTTATCCTATATTATCATTATCATTTCCTTTCCCCTCCTCCTCCTCCTTCTCCTTCATCTCCTCTTCTTCGTCCTCCTCCTCCTCCTTCCCCCTCCTTCTTCATGGTCCTCGCTCCTCCAATCTCCTCCCTGTCTCCCTCCCCCTGCCTCCCCAGGAGTCGAGGGCCCTCCCCCTGCCGACCCCCGCCCCGCGAGCAGCCAGGTGCCCGCGCCCGCCTGCGGTTCGGAGCGCCCCAGCTCCGCCGCGGGGACGGAGCCGCTGTCGTCCAAGGGGGCGCCCTCCAAGGCGGCCAAGGCCAGCGCCCGCTCCCCGTCGGGGGCCTGGGGGGCGCGCGATGGGGGGGCGATCATCAGAGGAGGAACGGGTACCCATACCGCTACCCTTTCCTCGTTTTCCTTCTTTTTGGGCCTCCGCGGACGCCTTCGTCGCCACCGTCGGATTCGCTTCGAAATTCTGGCCAGGAGACACCCTGGCAGAGGTCCGGGGGGTAGCGGCATCGGGCACCTTATTGGTCTCCCCGCATCAGTGGTGGGGCAGCGAAGGCTGCCGAAAAGGGCACTTGTAGGGCCCCGAAGGGAACTTTTCGGGCCCGACGTGTGCAGCTGTCTCCCCCCCCCCCACCTATCGCCCCCCACTTCTTCGCGCCCACGCAGCGGGAGGGGCGAGCACTGGGATCTCCGCCGGGGCTGTCAAGGGATGGGGAGGTCAGACGTGGATGCGGAGGTGGGGTATTCGAGGAAGAATAGCAATACTACGAATAAGAATAATAACGATACTAATACTAATAAGAAGAAGACTGATACTAATAAGAATATATAAATATAATAAGAATAAGAAAATAATGAGAATAATACTAATAAGAGTATTAATGATAAGAATAATCAGAGCAATAAGAACTAATAACAATAATACTAATAATAATAACGGACATAAGGAGGAGGAGGAGGAGGAGGAGGAGGAGGAAGAAGAACCGGCATAGCCATAAACGTTCGGAGCTCCGCGTGGATCTTGAGGATCGGCGCTGGGTCCCCCTGGCGGCGCCTCTGGCGCCGCCCCTGGCGCGCCCCGCACGCCGACCCATGACCTCCGCCTGGACCTCCGAAGGCTTCGGTCTGCGTGTGCAGCGCTGCGTTTCCCAGGAGATGGTCTCCACTCGGCCTGCGGTCGGGCGCTTTGGCTTCGCGGCGTGCCGCGCCGCCCGATCTGCCCCGCCGCGCCTCGGCGCGCCGCGCTGTCCACGTCCGGGTGTCCAGGCGTCCACGTCCCGAGCCATGCCCAGCCCTCTGCCCCGCGGGGCGGAGCGACGCGCCATCAGCCTGCATGGCACAGCGTCGCGCCGCGGCCGCTGCCGCGGCACGCTAGGCAAACACTTCCTGCCCGTGAGGAGATAGGGAGGTCGGGCGTAGATGTCAAGGTTTTTTTTTATCTCTCTGCCGAACCGAGTTGATGAATGGATTGCAAGTGCCCTAGACATTTCAGGGTAATGAGAGAACTCAGCGCAGTGGGCTCCGCCCACGTAGTCCAGATCACTACACCCGTAAACCACAAAAGGGCACTTGTGACCCACCTACAAGCTAGGTTCGGCCATGTTCCCCTTTCAGTATCCGTAAGGGTTTCGCCACCTGCCGCCAGCCCCCTCTCTATCATAATAGGTTACATCAGAGTCGCGTCGGTGCGTCTCGGCACTGCGTTTCGCATCTGGGAACATCCTGCGAGGGCGGATCGGAATCATCAGCGCATATTGAGACGTTGGCGTTATCGAAGACACCTATGGCGAGTCGCCGCCGCCCCCTGCCCTTCCGGAAGCGCCTATGTGGCCGAACGTTGAGGCCAGAGCCCTGCCAAGCTATCGGACTATGTGTTCCCCGAATCGGTTTGGAAAGCCTTCGGGGAACACGTGGGGGAGGACGGGGAAGAGGAGGAGAGTGAGGAATAGGCATGTTCGGGGCCCCTTAGGGGCTCTTGTGTGCTTTTGGAGGCGTCTTGGGGCCTGCTGGCCGAAGGTTGGGTCAGATCCTTGCCAATCTTTCGAAACGAGTAATCCCCGAATCGGTTTGGAAAGCTTTTGGGGAACACGTGGAGGAGGTTGGGGAAGAGGAGGAGAGTGAGGGAAAAGGGGAAGGGAGGAAGAGTCATCTTGGGAGTCTCTTGAGGCACTCTGGGGCTCAATTGGGCCATCTTGGCGGTCTTGGAGGCATGTTTGTTTGGACCGTTATGGAGGCCAAATTGGAGTGATCTTGGGTTCTCTTGGTGCCATCTTGGCTATCTTGGACGCATCTTGGAGGCCATCTTTGGCCATGTTGCCCGTCTTGGAGGCGTCTCGAGACAGTCTTGCAGGCCATCCTGGGCCGTCTTGGAGAGATCGTTCGTGGACTTTGAGGTCATTAATTGTCTTTCGAACCATTTTACGAAGATCATAGTTTTTCGTCCGAAATTGGCTCGCTTGATGTTGGATTGTGTCAGAGGCATTTGCGCCCTGAAGGTCATTTTGGCCGTTTGGAGGCCATTTTGACCCTTTCGGGCCTTCCTGGAGGACGTCTTGGAGGGCTCTTGGGCCGTTTCGGAGGCCTCTTGAGGGCCTTTTGGGCAGTCTGAGGCCATCTTGAGGCCATCTTGGGCCGTCTTGGGTGCATCTTGGGGCCATCTTCGCTGTCTTGGAGGCCTTCCAGGCCGTCTTGGATGCATCTTGGAGGCCATCTTGGCCGTCTTGGAGGCCATCTTCGACGTCTTCAGGGCCATCTTGGACCGTCTTGGGCTCTTCTTGGGGCCCTCTTGGGGGCCTCTTGCGCTGTCATGGCGCCATCTTGGAGGCCTCTTGGGCGCTCTTGGGACGATATTGGGGGCCTCTTGGGCCGTCTTGGGCCTTCAAAAACCTAAGGAAATCAATGATTGTTGCCCTTTCGGGCCTTCCTGGAGGACGTCTTGGAGGCCTCTTGGGGGCCTCTTGGCCAGTCGTAGGCCATCTTGGAGCCACCTTGGGCCGCCTCGGAGGCTTCTTGGACGACCTTGAAGGCATCTTGGACTCTCTCGCGCCGTCTTGGAAGCCATCTTGGACCATCTTTGGCGACTTGGACGCCATCTTCCGTCATCTTGGAGGCTATCTCGGGCCAACGTGACCATCTTAGAGGCCATCTTGAGCCGTCTTGGGGAATTGTTTGCGGTCGTTGAGTTGGGTTTGCGGGGCTTTTCCGGGACCCTGGCGGGATCGGCCAAAGCCCCAGGGGGATTCCGCTTGGAAAAGAACCAAAACCAGAATCGAAAGGATCTAGCACGCCGGGTACCCTTGTGGCAAGCCAACAGGGGGCGGCGGATCGAAGACACCTATGGCGAATAATTGCTGCCGCCTGTCTTTTTTGGAAGCGCCTGCGTGGCCGAAAGTTGGGTTTGAGTTGAAGGGGTCTAGGCCTCTAGGGAGCCACGCTGTGAAACACACGACGCCAGGTGCCTGGGATGGAGGACCATCGCATGGCCATTCCGATCCGACCAATCCGATTCGACATCGGTTTTGGCCAGCTCGGTCCAGTTCGACTCCGATACTCTGGAGATCAGGTGCCGCCAGATTCTTGCACGGCGCACTTGTGTATCCTGGCGCGGCAAATCCGATTCGATTCTGACCAGTGCCGATGAGGCCCGATCCGACGCACATTCCAGGTCGATCCGACTTTTCGATTCGATGCTGACTGATCCTGCGGTCCCCGGTTCCCCCCCGCAAAAAAAAGCCGTTTAGAGAATGAGGGGCATTCGGGTATAAACCCCGGGGGGCTCTTCGGACGCTCCATATCGAGGCCGGCCGCCCCCGATATCTCCGAGTTGGAAGCCAGACCAGTTGGCCCATCGAAAGTCCCCACAGCATCGGGGATTCGGGTCGCCGAGCCCCGGATCGGAGGAGGAGGATAGGAGGAGGAGGAGGATAGGAGGAGGAGGAGGAGGAGGAGGAGGAGGAGGAGGAGGAGGAGGAGGAGGATATGAGGAGGAGGAGGAGGGAGGAGGAGGAGGAGGAGGAGGAGGAGGAGGAGGAGGAGGGAGGGAGGACAGGAGGAGGAGGAGGAGGAGGAGGAGGAGGAGGAGGAGGAGGAGGAGGAGGAGCAGGGCCAGGATCGAGGATCGGGGTCGAGGATCAGGGCCGAGAATCGGGATCGAGCTTCGGGATCGAGGAGATGGAGGGGCCACGGGGCGGCGCCCTGCTCTTCCGTGCGCGCCCGTCTTCCAGCTCACGACCCAGGGCGCACGCCCGATTGCCGCCCCCCCGCCCCCCCAAGCACTGCAACGTTTGCAGGCCGTGTCTCGAAGAACAGGGCTCGAGCTAATCGGTGTTTGGGCTCGTCTCGAGTTCGTCTTGAGCTCGTCTCGCAGCAGAGGCAGGGAACACGGCAGAACGCGGGAGAACGAGCCCACAGCGAGGACGAGCAGCACTGCCCTGAGGGGGACTTCCTCAGGGGGGACTTCCCTGGGGGCATCGTTCTGCATCCCCCGCGAGAGGCGCCGACGAGGAGCGGCGCCGCCGAGGAGGTGCCCGACCGGCGGAGCTCCCAGGAGGCCCAGGAGGAACCGACGGAGACGTTGGTGCCCGACATCACGCGGTGGGCGATGCGTCGGAGCTGCAGTTGCCACAGGAGGTCGATGAGGAGCATCGTGGGCGAAACACGGGTGATTTCGAGGCTCGAGGCTTCTGGACATGTTCGTCTGCTATCGGCGGCTTTCGAGCCTCGGGATGCCTTCCAGCGGCTGCGCCTCGCCGAGAGCGTTCGGGGGGTGCCAGAATCGTCCCGAACGGCAGCTGGAGGCCCGAGTCATGGAGGAGTTGATTGGATTGTTTGGAAGTAGGGACGTTTGAGGCGCTTTCCTCTTTCAAGGATCGAGTGGTTTTCCCTCCTCATTCGTCTTCAGGGTGCGGGTGGAGACCCGATCTACTGCCAACGGCCATACTTCATGTTCCTACCCACTTCTTCCGACCGACGGCTATCCGTATCCAGGGCCTCGCGGGCCAGGCCTTTGGGCCGCGACCCCGCGCATACAGGGCGCTTTTCTCGCAGGTGCCCTGCGCGGAACGTACTCGTACGACCGCGTACCCGCGGGACCGCGCCCCGGAATCCAGACCGCGAGGGCTCGGATACCGATGGATTCGCCACTCCTGCGAGCAGCAGTACGTAACCAACGAAGCTAACCAGCTAACCTTCTGGAGTTACGTGGGAGGAACGTGTGCCGACACCGCTACCCTTGACTTGTTTTCGTCGTTTTGGGCCTCCTGAGCGACCCTCGTTGCCACGGCTGGCTTCGCCTCGAAGCTGTCGTCAGAACGCACTCCGGGAGAGGCCTGGGGAGTAGCGGTATCGGTACCTCTCGGTTTCCCCCAAAGCGATCTCCTTCTGCCGACTGCGGCCTATCGGGTTCTCTGGGATCCTGGCGTCGCAAGTTTTCGCAGCTGGCGACTTTGCCTCGTTTCTGGCCCCAGGACCCTCGCGGATCGATCCAGCTCAAGACATGCAGCAGAATGATTGGGTCTATGGCTCCGATCCTGTTTTTTTCGCAACGTTGGATCTCAGGCTTGGTCGGCGTTCCTCCCGAGTGCTCCGTGCTGCCAAGAGCCCACCCAGAGCTTTCAGTGTGATTGGGTCCGGCTTTTGCATGTTGCCCTCCACACTTTGGGGGGCTTCGGTTTACAAGAAGCACGTCAGTGTTGTGGCGGATGATCCCCACACTTGTATACTTGATTGCACATCGCCACCAGGCGATTGCCTCAATCGTGCAATATTGAAGGCGCCTCTGGCGAGTCAGCGCTGTCCCCTGCCTTCTTTGGGAGACGCCTTTGGGATGCAATGTCGGCCGAACGTCCAGCCATATGAGCGGATTGCGTGTGACCCCAGTCGTTGGGGAAACCATTGGGGAAACATTGGGGAATGGCCCTTTGGGGCTGTCTTAGGGCTGGTTTGGGTCTTTTGTCGGGCCTTTTGGCTCTTCATGGGGGCCTTTTGGGCATTGCGTAGCTCTTTTTAGCCGTCTTGGGGCGCACTTTGGTTGGAAGGCCTCGTGTATTCCTCTTGGGGCGCCTTGGGGGACTCTTGGGCCGCCTTGAGAACATATTTGGCAGTTTTAGAGTCGTCTTGTCAGACTTGGTTGGCCGTTTCGGAGGCCATCTTGGAGTCATCTTGGGGGGGAAAGAGGACGGGAGATTTATTTTCCGCGTGGCCAGCGGGATGCGCCGAGACCCACCCCAACGGGAACATTTTGGATGAGCCAAAAGGGCTGCAAGCACTCTAACCTCCGGCGCGCCAAGCATCGGCGCCACTCAAACATACTAAAACTATGTGTGCGTCGCCCCAGTATATGTTCCACGGCGTGCGTTTTCTGGCTGTGCCCCTCTGGAGACGACATCATACACCATGGTTGTATTATATGTTCAGGTCGGACGCACGCCTTCGGGGAGGACCCATAGTACTAGGATGTCCGTGTGCGTCCCACATCACACCTTGCAAGCGAAAGTGAGTGGCGGATAGAAGAAGCCTACGGCGAAGCAACGCCGCCCCTTGCCTTCTCGACGCGCCTATGCGACCAAACGTTGGGCCGAAGTCTTGCCAAGCTGTTGGACTGCGTGTTCTCCCAGCCGTTGTGGGAACCCTTGGGGGGACACTTGTGGGAGGAAGGCAAAGGAGGAAGAGGAGGAGAGGGAGGAATAGGAGGAGGAGCCTGATGCCTCTTGGGGCTCCAGCGGGCCGTCTGGAGGCCTCTGGGGGTCTATGAGAGGCCTTGGCCTTCGGAGGACGTCTTGAGGGCCCCTTTAGAGCTGTAATTGGGGCCCTCTGGGGCGCTTTAGAGCCGTCTTGGAGGTCTATGAGGCCGTCTTGGGGCTCTCTTGGGGCCGTCTTGGGGGCCTCTCGGGCCGTCTTTGGGCCCTCTTGGCACGTCTTGGGTCTTGGGCCATCTTGAAGCCGTCTTGTCAGACTTGGAGGCCATCTTGGCAGTTTCGGTGGCATCTCGGCCGCTTTGGAGGCCGTGTTGGAACGTCTTGGGACATCCTGGAGGCCGTCTTGGCCGTCTTGAGCAGATGCAGCTCCCGTGCTGGTCGGAAGGGCTTTTCTAGAGGATCGGTTTGGTCGGCCGAACCCCCTATTGGGAACTATGTGGAAGCGTCCAAGACAGTGGCGCTCCAGCACGCCAGGCACCCCCTGCGGTATTGGCTGGGGGAGGCGGATCGCAGACGTCTTCGGCGAATCACCGCCGCCCCTCTGCCTTTGGGAATCGCCTATGTGGCCGCACGGTTCGACCAGAGCTCGGCCAGGCTATCGGACTACGTGTTCCCCCATCCGTTGTGGAGCCCCTATTGGGAACACGAGGCGGAGAAAGAAGAGGAGGAGAGGGAGGCAGCAGTTGGAGGAGGAGGAGGAGGAGGAGGAGGAGGAGGAGGAGGAGGAGGAGGGGGAGGGAAAGGCCTCTTGGGAGCCTCTTTGGGCACTCTTTTGGCATCCTGGGAGCGTCCTGGGGGCCCCTTGGAGGCCTCTGGGGAGCCTTCGGAGGCTTCTTGGGAGGCTCTTTGGCCGTCTGAGGGCGGTCCTGGCCCGTCTGACGTCGTCGGTCGCCGTCTTAGGGGCCTCTCTGGGCCGATTTGGGGCCCTCGTGGAGCGCTTCCGGGACGTCTTGGAGGCCATCTTCGGCGTCTTGGAGATCTCCTGTACCGTCTTGGGGCCCATCGAGCCGTCAGGGGGCCCTCCCGGAGGCCTCCTGGGCGCTCTTGGGGCCCTCTTGGCGCCCTCGGGGCCGTCTTGGGCCACCAGAATAAGCAGAACACGAGCAAGCGCCAGAATCTCTCAAGCTCCGAAGGAAAATCATGATTTTGGCCTCTTCGGGGCTTCCTGGAAGCCCTCTTGGAGGCCTCTTGGGCCGTCTTGGAGGCCGTCTTGGGCGATCTTAAGACCATCCTGGGGGGCATCTCGGCCCGTCTTGGAGACATATTGGGGCCATCTGAGGCCCTCTTGGCACCACATTTGCCGTCTTGGAGGCATCTTGGAGGCCATGTTGGGCCATCTGGGCCGATTTGGAGGCGAAAGTTCTGGTTTGACCTGGCCTTCGGGTGCCCGGCGCATTAGGTCGAAGCCCCTTGGGAACTTGCAGAAGGACCAACAACTACCGCTTGGCACGCCGTGCACAGATGTGGTAATCCACAGGGGGCGGCAGATCGAAGACGCATGCGGCGAATCACCGCCGCCCCCTGCCTTTCAGGAAGCGTCTAGGTGGCCGAAAGTTGGGCTAGAGCGATCGGACCATGTGTTCCCCCAGCTGTCGTTGAAACTCTCGGGTGGGGAGGAGACGGAAAAGGGAGTATGAGGAGGAGGAGGAGGAGGAGGAGGAGGAGGAGGAGGAGGAGGAGGAATAGGAGGAGGTTCCTAGGAGCCTCTTGGAGGCCTCTTGGAGGCCTCCGTGGGCCTCTTGGGAGCCTTTGAGGGCTTGTTCGGGGCCGCTTTGGCCGTCTTAGGCTCTTGAGCACTTCAGGGCCGTCTCGGAGGCCATCTCGGGCGTCTTGGAGGCATTTTGGGCCGTCTTGAGGCCCTCTTAGGGGCTGTCTTGGAGGCTTCTTAGGCCGTCATGGGGTCGTCTCGGATGCCTTCGGGGCCATCTTGGCGCGATCTTTGGGGCCTCTTGGGCCGTCTCGGGCTATCGGACGGCCGAAAAGAACCAAATGTTAAGGCGGGCGTGTCCCTCTACAGGAGGGATGTTCAAAAATAGTCTAAAGATAATCGGGACACGATTTTGATTCTACTATGTTTGACTATTTTGGTGTATGGTTAGACTATGTTTGATTTTTAGTCCTACATTCGCCTGTATGAGAACATGCCCGACCTGATGCAATATACAGCATCCATCAAACACCGCAGGAAATCTATGATTTTGACCTCTTCGCCTTTGGAGGACCTCTTGGAGGCCTCTAGAGCCGCCTTGAAGGCCCCTTGGGGGCTTCTTGGGCTTTCCTGGGCCGTCTTGGAGGCTTCTTGGGTGGACTTGGAGGCACCTTTGATCCTCTTGGGCAGTCTAGGAGGCCATTTCGGGGCATCTTATGCGAACTTGGAGGCCATCTGGCCGTCGTGGAGGTCATCTTGGACCATCTTGGACCAGTCTGAAACAGACAGATTCTTGCCAACCACCTCTGGGCAAGCATTCCGGGTGGCCAGCGCAATGAGCCGAAGCCCCAGGGGGTTCTTGTTTTGAGAACCAGAAGCCATCAGACGCTAAGCACGCCAGGCACCTGGGGGCGGCGGATCGAAGACGCCTATGGGGAATAACCGCCGCTCCCTGCCCCTTGGAATCGCCAAAGTGGCCGAGCGTTGTGGCAAGAGCTCCGCCGAGCTATCGGACCATGTGCTCCCCCAGCCGTTGTGGAAACCCTTCGGGGACACTTGGGGGAGGATGGCGGGGAAAATCAGGAGGAGGAGGAAGAGAAGGAGGAGGACAAGGAGGAGGAAGGGAAGGAGGAGGACGAGGAGGAGGAGGAGGAGAAGGAGGAGGACGAGGAGGAGTAGGAGGAGGAGGAGGAGGAAGAGGAGGTATCTTGGGAGCCTCTGGGGGCACTCTTGGGGCCCCCTGGGAGGTTCCTGGGGTCATCTTGGAGACATCTTTGGGGCCTCCTTGGGCCTCTTGGGGGCATTTGGGGGCTTCTCGGATGCCCCTTCGGCCGTCTTAGGGCACGGCGCGTGTGTGACGCCGTTGGCAGCCGTCTTGGGCGCCTCTCTCGGCCGACCTGGGGCCCTCTTGGGGTGCTCCAGGGCCGTCTTGGAGGCCGTCTTGGCCGTCCTGGAGGCTAGCTTGGGCGTCTTGGGAGCCTCTTGGGCCGTCCTTGGGGCCCTCGTGGGGCCGTCTCGGGGGCCTCTCGGGGCGTTCTGGGGCCATCTTGGAGGCCTCTTGGGCGATCTTGTGGCGGTCTTTGGGAGCGCTCGGGCCGTCTCGGACCGTCGGACGGCCGGACAGAAGCATATGCCCAAATCCTTCAAACAACCGCAGGAAAGTCCATGATTTTGGCATCTTTGAGCCTTCCTGGAGTCCTTCTGGAGGCCTCTTTTACCGTCTTGGAGACGTCTCGGGGGCCTCTTGGGGGCCGTCTTGGGCCACCTAGAGCCATCTTTTGACCGTCTTGATCGGTTCCTGGCCCGTCGGAAACCGTTTTGGGGGCCTCTCTCGGCTCAGGGTTGTCTTAGAGGCCATCTTTGGCGTCTTGGAGGCATCTCGGGGCCCTCTTCGGGCCGTATTGAGGGCCTCCTGGGCCGTTCTGGGGCCATTTTGGAGGCCTCTTCGGCGATCTTGGGGCGATCTTTGGGGGCTCTTGGGCCGTCTTGGACCGTCGGAAGGCCGAAAAGGAGTAAATCCCCAAATCCTTCGAAAACCCATGGGGAATCAATGATTTTGGCCTCTTCGGGCCTTCCTGGAGGCCCTCTTGGGAGCCTCTTGGACCGTCTTGGAAGCCTCTTTGGGGCCTCTTGGGCCGTCTCAGGCCATCTTGAGGCCATGTTGTGCCGTCTCGGGTGCATCTTGGGCCGTCTTGGAGGCGTCTTGGAGCCATCTCAGCCGTCTTGGAGGCCATCTTGGCCATCTTGCAGGCCATCTTGAACTATCTTGGCGGTCTTGAAAGCCATCTTGCGCCGTCTTGCGGGAATGTTTCTGAGAACTCGGCAAGTTGCGCTCCCTTCCGGTGGGCCGGCGGGACGGGCCGAAGCTCCAGGGAGAGTTCTTCTGGAAAAGAACCCAAACCAAACCGTCTAGTGTCCAGCACGCCCGGCACCTCTGTGGCAAGAGCACAGGGGGCGGCGGAATCGAAGACGCCTACGGCGAATCACCGCCGCCCCCTGCCTTTTTGGAAGCGCCTATGTGGCCGAACGTTGAGGCCAGACCTGCCAAGCTATCGGACCACGTGTTCCCCGAATCGGTTTGGAAAGCCTTCGGGGAACACGTGGGCATCTTGAAGGTCATCTTGGCCGTCTTGGAGGCCTCTTGGGCAAGCTTTGGGCGATCTTTGGGGCTTTTTGGGCCGTCTCGGGCCAGCTTCGAGCCAACTTCGGCCATCTTGGTGGGTTCCTGGCACGTCTGAAGCCGTCGGAAGCCGTTTGGGGGGCCTCTATGGGCCGACTTGGGGCCCGCTTGGAATGCTCCAGGGCCGTCTTGGAGGCCATCTTGGGCGTCTTGGAGGCCATCTTGGGCGTGTTGGAGGCCTCTTGGGCCCTCTTGGGGCCCTCTAGGGGCCATCTTGGAGGCCACTTGGGCCATCATGGGGCTCTCTTGGGGGCCTCTTGGGCGATCTTGGGGGCTTCTTGGGCCGTCTTGAGCCGTCGGAGAGCCGAAAAGGCGCAAATGCCAAAATCCTTCAAAAACCAATGGAAAATCAATGATTTTGGCCTCTTCGGACTCTCCTGGAGGACCTCTTGGAGGCCTCTTGGGCCGTCTGGGAGGCCTCTGGGGGGCCTCTTGGGCCGTCTTGGGCCGTCTTGGACTCTCTTGGGCCGTTTTGGAGGCCGTCTTGGACCATCTCGGGCGGACTTGGAGGCCATCTTGGGCCATCTTCGCGATTTTTTGAGGATGTCCCGAGCGAGACGGCCGTTTTTGGGCATTGACAGATGGATTTTGGGAAATTTACGGGTGGCCGGCGGGACGGGCCGAAGCCCACTGGGGAGTTCTTTTAGAAAAAGAACCAAAACCAAAACCTGAATCATCCAGCACGCCGTGCACCCCTGCAAGCAGGGGGCGGCGGACTAGTAGACTTCGGCCCATCCCGCCACCGTACCAGGGTTGTAGGCCAGAGTCCTCCGAGACGCCTCTTGTGGTCTTTGAGATGCCTCTTGGAGGCCTCGTGGGGGCTCTTGGGGTCTCTTGGGCGCATTTTGGGCACCTCTGGGGAACTCTTTGGGGGCTCGGGGATCACCGTGACACTAGAGGGCTCCCAAGGTGCCTTCCTGCCAACTCTCCAGGAACAGCAACATAGAACTACACAGGATGTCTCAATGATGTTTGACTTTGGAAAGTTGAGAATTGGCAATTGGGGCTCTGGGGCGTTGGCAGTATGCAGAATACGCGACACAGAGAACGCGAAGAGACTTGACAAGACTCGACTTGCGCCAAAACGGAAGGCACGGGGGTGGAATCGTCACTTCATCTTGCCTTCTCGCTCTGGGGCTGTGGCTTTCTCTGACCTGTCCTGCTACATCTGGATGTCGTTTGAGACATTGGTCAACCTCACACTTGAATGTCATGTTGGTGTGGCATTGTACCCTTCCAAATCCAGCCTACATTTTCTCTTGTATTGCGAAGGCCTCACGGCCAGTGCCGCCGACCCTGAAGGCGGGAGCCCCCCGGAACCCCCGCTGGCGACCCTCCTGGGACCCGCCGGAACCCTGGGGGGGGCGGTCATCTGACTCGGGACCCCCCCCCCCGGCAGGGAAGGGGCAAAAAGAGGGAGGGAATCGACTCAACTACAACGTTCCTCAATTTCCTTGTTCCTCAATCAATGTCCTTGGGGCTGGCGACGACGACGACGATGACGATTCAAACGGAACAGCGTCTCGTCTCACGCACACCGAAGGATTGGCGGATTAGCCCGCCTCATCTCACAGCAGTCTCGAGCTGCGTACATCCTTCCCTGGCTCCGCAGCAATACTATGCCAATTCCATCGTTGCAGGCTCATGTGCGTGGTATTATTGACATGGTTGTGGCATCGTCGTGCCTCAGTTAAGCCGGTTCGCGATACGCTGCTTACAATAGTATTTCTATGGCACTCTCTGATACATAATGGCTGTGGCTATGCGCAGGATCCATGCAGATAACTTTCAGTTGCTGTTCCAGGTTCTTGACGCCGCATGCAGTCCCTAAGATAACGTGACCATCGTTCCGCTACACCAGGATTCCGTGTGTAGATTCTTCAGTGAATACGACGCTTCTGCTACAAAGCTAATTTTCGTTCCGAGGCGTCATTCGAAGAGCACATGTTCTCAACATTCGGAGCATACGTCTCTCTTCGGCGCCGGGCCAGGTGGATAATTGAGCCGATGTGCGAACAGCGGCTGTTCGTGCACTTCGCTTCTGAGGAGGTAGGGGTCTACGAAACCACGCTGCACTTCGAGATGGTTGGCGGCAACGCGTCTGGACCGCCACTTCTTTCTGCAGCGATTGTGGCTGTTGGCCGCGCTGCCATGGGAATCACTGTCTGACCGGTCGGTCGGACTGCGGTTTGCTGCGACGTGGCCTCTTTGGGGTTCTCTTGGATGCTGACCTGGGGCTTTTGGGGGGTCTCTTGGGAGCCTCTCGGAAGTCTCGTGGGGGCTTTCTACTGGGCCTCTCGGGGGGCTCTTCGGGGCCTCCTGGGTCCACCCTGGAGGGGCGGCTCCCGGCGGTCTGGCGGTACCGCGCTTTTGGGGCCCTCGTGGGGCTCTCGTGAAGAATTTTGGGGCTCCTCCGGGGAACCTCGGGGCCGTGTTGCTCAGGAGCGACAGACGGACGCACACCGTCCGTATCACGCGGGTGGTCTCGCGGACTGGGGGGCCATGCTCATGTGCGTAGCTGGGCGCACACGTCCTTTGTGGGCTCCCTACCTGTGGCAGCGGTCTTGGGCTCGACCGGAAGACAGCAGAGGGAAACATGCTGTTACACCATGCGCGCACGCATGGCCCCCAGGGCCCCCAAGATGGCCCTCAGGGCCTCCAAGATGGCCACAGGGCTGAGAACCCCCCCCCCCGCCGCCATGGTTTGCGCGCTGGCCTTTGGCCGGGCACGGCCCGGGTGCGGCCGCCTGACGAGGAGCCGAAGAGGCCATCGTGATCCTGATCTCTGGCTGCCTTGCTCGCACGCAGTGCGGAACGCGCGCGTGCACGTCGCGGCCGCTTGGGCCCAGGTGGGGACCTGCAGAGCCAGGCGCGCGTCGCCACCAAAGCAGCGGTTGATGAGTTGCTCGAAGGCCCCGGGCCACGCACGGGAAAAGTTTCGGGAGCGGTCGCGCGGCACGCCCCGAGAGGCGCGGAGGAGGAGCGCCCAGAGATCCCTTGTGAGCGCCTGGAGTTTTGAGCGCTGGGGGTTCGCACGAGAACGATGACTGCCAACCGGGTACCCTGATCGCTGTGAGCAACGGAGGGCTTTGGCCCATCTTCCACCCCCGTGGGCCCTCACCGAGCCCCGAGACCGTCAGCAAGACTCAGGACGAAGTGCCGGTCCTGGGGGAGGGGTCCAGACCTATGGGGAGCCAGGCTGTGAACAAATCACGACGGAGGGTGTCTGGGCAGTACTTCGGGTTACGGTTGCGGTGCGGCTCTTTTCAGAATTACCGCGGTTTCTGAGTTCATCGTCTGCCCCTTGCTTCTGCTGTTGGGGGGTTCTTCCGCATTTGAGATGATGAGCCACTCTGGATCCCATGTGCTGTGGCGGACTGCTCTTGGATAAAACTTGTTCGGCGATGCTTACCGCCGAAATTGGAATGTCTAAACATTGTGGAAAAACTGATGGCCCCCCCCAGATCCCGACTGCCATTGATTCGCCTCCGAATAATTATTTGTTTCAATGCCCCCCCTGAACCTTATCCCACGGGGTCCGAACCATGCGATTGGTAAATGCCCACATGTGTGTTTGTGTATACGTACATATCGGTGTATACACACGCACGCACACGCATGCATCTCGTGGAATGTCTGCAGCGGGAGCTCGCGTCAAATTTTCATGGTGGCCCCGTCGGGCCAACCCGAGTCCCCAGAGCCCGAGTCTTGCATGAAAGGTGGGTGGTGACTACACCTTCCTGTGAGATGACCGCGGCGGGCTGCTGACGGTTCCTCATCGGAGGGCCCTCGTTTTCGCCCCTCAAGGGCCTCCTCGGAGGCCCTCGTCGCCACGGCCGGATTCGGCACGAAGTTCTGGCCAGAACTCGCCTTGGGAGAGGTCTGGGGAGTGACTGTATCGTTACCGAGATTCCTCTCGGATTGCTGAGGGGATCAGGGGGCTTAGAGGCGGTTGGAAGTGCCTTACGTGGTTTAGGGGGGTGCAGACCCGGTCTAAGTGGGGGCACGTGTAGCCCACTCATAAGTCAGGTTGGGGCAGATAGGGCCCACCCTGGCATCCGCTTCTACCCCCCCGGATCCCCTTAGAGGCCGCCGCGGTCATCTCAGCACTGCCCCGGAAAAGTAATGCAACTTTGGTCGTAGATGTGCCTGCTTTCTTTGCCTACCGCTTCTCCGCGTCTGCAGCCCGCGGGGGGCCGTTTGCGGGCCCCGCGGGGCCGTCGGCAACGGACCCGGGGCGAACAAAACTGCCAGGGAGGTCCCCCCGCACGGCTTCCCGAAACCACCGGCGCACGTTGCATCCTTTGTCCAGGGGAGCGCACGGAGTTGGATCTCATGGCCAGGGCCACGACATCTCCTCGGACTTCGTGGCCAGCGCTTCTGCCTCCGCCGCTCCCCTGGGCCCCCCCCCCGGGGCCTGGCGCGTGCCGCCCGGGCCTCGGCGCCCGCGCAGAGGCCGAGGAGGCGCAGACGGGAAGCGCCGCGCGCGCTCCCCTTCCCGCTCCCGCAGCGTGCCTGCTCGCACACGTCCGAGCAGGAGCAGGCGTCTGCCTCGGCGTCCTGCATCGCAGGACCCCTCCGGCGGATCCGGGCCACCTGCGAGCAGCTGCTCTGCGAGTCGTGGAGCGCGCGCTCCGCCGACTGGGAGGAGGAGGAGGAGTAGGAGGAGGAGGAGGAGGAGGAGGAGGAGGAGGAGGAGGAGGAGGAGGGCTCAATGGGCCAGCGCGTGGACCGGCGGCGGGTCCCCGCTCCGCCAGGTCGGGCGGCACCGGCCTCGTGCTTCGGACGGGAGGTTTCCCCGATCCGTGGATCCTCCTCCTCCTCTCCTCCCTCCTCCTTCCTCCTCCTCCTCCTCCTCCCCCCTCCTCTCCTCCTCCTCCCCCCCCCTCGTCCTCCCCCTCCTCCTCCTCCTCCTCCTCCTCCTCGTCCTCCTCCTCGTCGTCGTCCTCCTCCTCCTCCTCCTCCTCCTCCTCCTCCTCCTCCTCTCCCTGGCGTTCTCACCTGCCTCACCGATCCTGGCCTGGTCGATCCCTGGCCCAGGAACCGATGAGCCCACGCGCCAGATTCACGGATCCTCTGAGTGATCCATGTTGCAGTCGGCCCGAGGTATAAGATCGAAGGCGGTTCGGGAAGGGTATCCTAATATTCTTCGTGTCTGTTGGATGTTTTTGTGCATCCTGGGGAGGGCACCCTCGGATGTTCGGTGTTTTTGCTGGCGGAGGGTCTCATGATCTTGGAGGATGCTCTGCTGTCCTGGGTCCTGGGCCCGACTGCAGCGTGTGCCCGCACAGAGGGGCGGGTGTGTGCGCTTCCTGCTCTGGCCGCGCGCCGCGTCCAGATGCGGCCCGGGACGCCCCCGTGGATGGTGTCTGGTCGGGGGGGGCGGGGCGGGGCCGGGACGTTCCTTCGGTCAAGGGTCAAGGCAGGCCCCCCCCCCAGGCCACAACATCTTGCCCGATGTGTCCTCTTCCATCCGCGGCCCCGGAGCTCCCGACCTATCCCATAGGTCATCCGTTACCGGAAGTTTGCGGTAATAATTATTTAACTCTCTGGACGAGCCGGTCGCAACCGAAAGCGGGATTCCGGTCGCCAATTCCGGTAGCTGGCGAGCCGTCGAGTGGATCTTTGATGTTTTGGGGGCCTGTTTCGAGCAGGTGGAGTCTCCCCCCATAGGACGCTTTGCTGCAAACAGTCGCACCGAGCAGAGGTCCGGAGCCAGACCCCCCCTCCCTCTCCCCCCCCCTTCCTCCCAACGTCGAAACGCCGAAACAAAAACGCTCACCACGGCGGCCAAGAGATGTCGTGGGAAGCACGCCGCGGCTGGAGGAGAGCGATCACCTCGTCGGAGGTCTGTGGGGCCTGCCCCTCCCCAGGCCCCCCCCACGCACGTGGGCCCCCAGAGGCCTCGACTTCCCCAGGGCCGGCTTGTCATCCCGAGCCGTGTGTGCTGGCCCATGCAGACCCCCTCGAGTCCTGAGAAAGTCGCGACGGGAGGTTTTCCATATGTTCAGCCTCTGGGAGCCCGGAAAAGGTGGAGAACCATTTGGCCACCCATAGTGGGAAGCCTGTCGTTCTTTGCAGTCTCGCTGGGGGTGGCGCTTGAGCTTGTTGCCGCTCGCCGCGAGATTCGCCCCCTCGCAGGTAAACTCGGCGTGGCCCGCCACCTCGTCGGCGGTTTCGGCCCCTGCCAGGCCTCGGGACCGTCAAAAAACGACGCAGGATGAAAAGCCGGTTTCGGGGAATGGGTCCAGACTTCTGGGGGTCGACGTCATGCACGAATCATGACGTCGGGGGTCTGGGGACCCGGGCAGACGCCCCGATGAAAGCTGGAGCGGCGGGTTTTTTGGGCCATCTTCGGCCTCTGGGGGCGCCCGCTGGGCCTCGGGACCGCCTAAACAACACAGAACGATTCAGGACGGCACGCCGGCCCCATAGGGAAGTGGTCCAGTGGTCCAGACCTCCAGGGTCCACGCATCGAAAAGACTGGAGCGGCTGGATGTCCGGGAACGGTCCTGAGGCCCGTCGAGGACCCCCAGAGGCAGCGGATCGCCAAAGGCCTTCCGCCGTGACGTTTCTCACGACGCCAGGGGGCTCGGGTCGAGCGCCTCCCCCCAGCTCGGGCTCCCGCGGGTCCGGCCCGGGGCGGCCACGAGGACCCATCCCCGTGAGAGTGACGGGGACGTCCGCGCTGCCGGCGGTGAACTCCGACACGAGGTTCATCTTCCCGAGGCGGAGCACGCCGCGTGCTGTGCCCGCACGCCCCGTGCGCCCCCGGGGCAGGTGGCGTGCGAGGATGAGAGGGTCTAGGCTTATGTCGGGCCTGTTCCCCTACAGGAGGATTTTCGACGAAAAATAAAACAATACACCACAAACATTCCAAAAAGGTAAAAATACCCAAACATAGTCCCCAGACTATTTTTGGATTTTTTTTGTTATTTTTGGAGGAATTTGAGTGTTTCGTCGAAAATCCCCTTGTAGGGGGTCAGGCCCGACTTAAGTCTAGGTAGGCCTCCCAGATGGGGTCGGAGTAGATGGGGTCGGAGGATCCCGCCACGTCGCCGATGCATCGCCGGTCGATGCGGCTCGATGTGCAGCTCGATTTGCTTCACATCGATGTCGCCGATGCACAGCCGACGTCGACGATGCACCGGCGGTGCATCGGCGGCGCATCGCCGATGCATCGCCGACGTATCGGCGATGCGGCGCGATCCTCGGACCCCACCTGCTCCGACCCCGTCTGGGAGGCCTCTATAGAGGGGGAGGCCCCACCCCGATCTCTGTGTGTGCCGGAGGGGCCCTGCGATTCTGGCGCCGCATTGTCTGCTGTTCGCCACGGGCGCTCTGCTGCCTCTCTTGTTGCGGGGGCCGGGAGCTTCGCGGGTCGATCTGGGGTCGTGAGGGGTGCGGCAGGAGGGCGGTGTCCAGGGCTTCCTGGTCGAGCTGTTGTCGAGCGATGCTGCTTTTTTTGTCGTGACGTCCGCTCTCGGGAACGGAGGCAGGAGAGTCGGGGAAGCGTGAGGCTCGAGTAAGCCGGAACTCGGGTTTGCCGACGTTTTCTGACGAGCGCGTCCTGGACTGCGACGGCCCGGTCTTGAGGGATGTCTGCAGCGGAGGCTCGCGTCAGATGTCAGGCTGGGCCTCGTCGTTCTCATGCTGGCCCCGTCGGGCCAGCCCCAGCTTCCCCGTGGCCGAGTCTTACGTGCACATTGTACATTACTAATTCTTCGAAAGTTCTCTGTTTTTTTTGGGGCCAAGATCCGTTCACTTCTAATGCCTCTATCCTGGGCCTCTCCCTGGCCACCAGAGGGGCCAGGAAGGATCAGAAACGAGCACACTTAGAAATGAGCACGACTCGAAGTGAACGACGTGTACGTCTCCCCGAGAGAGGCGGCGCCACCACCACCAGGGGGGGGCGGGGCGGCCACCTGCTCCGCGAGGGCGCCCACGGTGCTCTTCTCCCGAGCTGGGGAGGGGGGGGGGTCGTCGAGCGAGAGGAGGGGGCCACAGCACCAGGAGGGC